TCAAAACATTGGTTTGTAACATAAAGAGAATTTCAAGTAGCAATATTGAAATAGCAACAAGGAAGATTTGACTTGACTGCACCATTAAAAAAAAAACTAAACTTTGAATCATGGATGATAATTTTCCTCGAGCATCGTCAAAATCCATGGAGTTTCCAGGAAGAAATCTTCAAAGACATACTTATGTCGAATCAATCGATGTGACCCTTGTCCGGATCAGTAACGGATGGTCTCTTGGCTTTTCACTGACTTTTGTGTAGGACCTTGGAAGGGATGATCCCACCATTGACCGGGAACATACATCCTAGAAGCAAAAAAAAAAGTATTGTATTCCCTTTTTTTTTCTCTTGAAAACGGTGTCGTATTGCTGTCTACATAACATGGTAAATAATCTCATTATAGATTGCTAACAGTTAAGATGAAACATAATTTGGAATTTTTGTGTTGTCGACTTTTCAAGGTTTTTGGTAGTGGTTTGAGATTGATGTTGACAAGATGTTCTCATCTAGCTTTCAGTTACAGAATTTGTCTGCATATACTTGTTTGTGATTTGGTATGATGGTAACTAAAATATTCACAAGAGAAACAAGTAAGTGCTCATGAGACTAGACCAAACATTAAGTGTATAATTTTTGAAAGTACATGTTGGATGAGTTTTAGAATTCAATATGAGTTGATATAGTTGTTCAATCTATGGAGTTGAGAAGCGGAGGATAAAGCATCTGAAATATTATATAAGCAGTTTGGGATTGAAGTAGTAACCTGTAGCAGGGACCTGTATCAGTTGTGAAGTACTACAAGAGGTTGTACGAGTGGACTAGCTGAGCTTCATGACTCGTAGGCTTGAAGAATGGGCTGGGCCAAGCTAGTATGGACGTGACTTGATGCTGAGCTGGAGACGTTCCTTGGAAAGGATCAAGGAGCATGAAGATTTCCTTATGTCTTGGATAAGATTAAAGAAAAGAGGATATTCTACAAAGATGTGATATCTTCCAAACTTGAAGACTAAGGGTAGGGTTAGCCGTCGATTCCTATTGTGTATAAATATGAGTGTAAAAACGTGGAGAGACGTTTAATTATTAGCAAAGGGTATTGGAGAATGTCTAGTAAAAAGAGATCTTGATCAAAAGGGCTAAGGGGTAGTGATAGGTTCATAAGATCATGTGTGATTTGTGAACACATGAGGCTAGGATTGAAGTTGATAAGTAGAAATTGTAAGTATACTTATCTGTTTGATCTAGTAAAACGTTTTGGAGAAAAAAACTCTTTGGGTATTGTGTTCGTTTCCTGTACTAGAATATGTAGTATTCTCTGTAACAGCAGTTCTCGTACTTACAATTTTGATCGTGGATTTGTTGACTCCTAACTAAATTTTTAGATGAATCGGTTAAGCAATGTTTTTTATAGTATCTAGAGATATTTGGTGAGTAGAAAATCCATATCCAATCCAAATCTGGTATATATAAGTATGGAATTAGTTCCTATCCCAAACCAAAACCCCACAAAGTTAAATTGAAACCGTCTCAAATTCCCAAATCTCTGTCTTCCACCAGATTTCCTGTATGAACGATGAGCATGTCAAGAGGCGTGGTTCTATTAGGGGCTCGAGGTCTCGGCTCCCTTTCGGCTTGATTGGTCGTAGTCCATTCCCGTACCGCCAAATCTCCGAGCTCGCGAATGATTCAAAGTATTCTTTTGTTTTAATTGAACGTAGAATTATATTCAAATCAACCTTTTATAAAATAAATGGTTCTTGTTTTTTTAGTTTTTTTTGTTAAAAAATTTGGAAGAAAACTATGAATAAAAATTGAGAAGCTACGTGACCAGCTAGAAAATGAGTCGCTACCGTGTTGAGAGCCAGAGATCCATCGGTTCACCATAAGCGTGATACCCAGTTGCCCAAATTGAGTTTATGCGGTTTGTAACCGATTTATCAATCTGCTTGATCAATAATGTTGGAGTCTTTGCTATTTCCCATGTCGTCGTTGGTTCCTCTCTCGCCATAGGTGGTAGATTGTCGTTTGGAAGGCATATCGGAGCAGAAACAATGTATACTTCTGTCGATCAAAGGTTAGAAGCGCCACGGTCTGATCCCAATTGGCCGTATAGTCAGAGCCGAGCAGCTTGAACACGGTGTGCTTCCAGACTTTTGCAAAAAAAATGCACTCAAAGAAGAGGTGGTTTCATGTTTCCTCTACATGTCTGCATAGGCAACACTTAACAATCTGTCCCGAGTCCTAATTTCTCATACG